CTTGGCCAGAAAAAGAGATCGCCGTGATTTAAATAGTGCCAGGAATTCTGGGCAGTAGAGGAAAACGGGCCAAGAGAACTGCTGTCCCCTGAGTTTGGGGCAGGAGGGTGAGCAGTCCTGGTCTACGGGCATCATGGTTGCTGGAAGGCTACTAAGAGCTCTTCCATTCTTGGGTTGCCTGTTAGTCTCAGACTCTCTCTCAGACTGTTCAGATTTTATTTAGTTTTATTTTAACTATACTCATCATTTGTTGACTTATATTCTATGTCAGGCCAGATCAGTGCTTCTTTGTGTGTGAGGTACAGTGGATCATGGGGGTCCGTGTGCATTTAGTGGGGGAATATCAAGGATATGCCTTTCAAGGAAAAGGTAGATGAGCGCTTAGCATGCCCCCTACTGAAGGACCCCTCACACCACCCAGAAACTGTCTACTGGCCCATCAGCTGCACTAAACTGTGGGCTCATGAGGACAGCAAGTGTGTCCATAGAGCTCCCTATGTTTCCAGATTCATACTGGGTATAGGACATGCTCCTAGTAGCATCTATTTATAGTAGTAACTTTTTTTTTTTTTTTGGTTGAATGAGATGGTTAAATATGCAAGGATGAGTAAATCAATGGAAGAACAAAGTTAAGGAGAGATAAAAGACAGAAACCCAAATTACAAACCAAAAGGAGGCTTTTTTTTGAGAGAGAGCATGCGCGCGCGTGACCTCCTACGCACCAGTGGTGGGGGAGGGGCAGAGGAAGAGGGAGACTCTTTTTTTTTTAAGATTTTATTTATTTGTCAGAGAAAGAAAGAGAGAGAGCACAAGCAGGGGGAGCGGCAGAGAGAGAAGCAGACTCCCCACTGAGCAAGGAGCCTGACGAAGGACTCCATCCCAGGACCCTGGGATCATGACCTGAGCCTAAGGCAGATGCTTAAAGGACTGAGCCACCCAGTCGCCCCCAAAGTGTGATGGAGGCCCTGCCCACGTTGTGGAAGGTAGGAAATGCTGCTGTGAGACTAGCTGGAAAGAAGTCCTTGGGTGACAGTGGAAATAAAAAGTGTTTAATTGCATCAATTGTCACAAGGACTAGAGAAAATCAGAGATAAATGCTGCAGACTTTCTCTCTATCCCCGCTTACTATCAGAAATAAGCATAAAAACAGGACAGTCCTAATCCAAACTATCTCACTCCATAGCTGCAAACCGTTTGGTGTCAAGACAGGAATGTTCCATCAAAACCTGCAGGGTCAGAAATGACTCCAGATGTTTCTAAACAGAAGGAATTTAGTATAGGGAATGGATTACAAAATATTGGAAGGGCTGGGACCAGGAGGGGAAAAGGTAAGGTTATCTAGAGATAAATAACATGAGGAATCTGCTACCAAGTCTAAGGCTGAAGTCGAAGAGCAAAAACAGACCCACCTAGAGCCCACAAGGGTGGCCTCCGAGGCTGCTGGGGTACCTGCCCCTCACTGCTGCACCAGGAGCCGCTGTTCTTACCCCTGCAGCAGACCAAGACCCCACCCTCCGCTGATGCAGGGGGAACCGGGACCCCACGCTCTCCTCCGGGGGCTGCCCACAGTTGTCGAAACCACACTCCCTGCCCGGGGACCAAAGAACCCCAACTTTGTAGTCACTGCCACCTCCAGAGGAAACAAGACAGACAGAAAGTCTTGTCTCCCTCCAATCATGAGACAGCACCCACCATTGGAAGACACTAGCAGGAACCGACATGACAAGAGAATCTGGACAATGTAGTTTGCACACCTCCAGCTCCTTGCACTACAGAAGAGAGCACGAAAGGGTGGGAACAGAGAGAGGTGGGACAGATCCTGGGCACACCCACAGTGTGGGGATGTGCAGGTCCTATGTAACCGATGTGAATGTGTTTACGCACATGTGTACGCAGGCAGAGGTAAAAGTGAGTGCACGGACGCGCACGCGCACATACACACACACACACACACACACACACCTGTGTCTGAAAGGCAAGGGATTATTATTAAATTAACATGCTCCCGGTTCAGTCTAGACATGTCTCAAAACAACTGCTACAGTTATGTCGTTGGGCTAAATAATAGCATCCTAACCACCCAGGGAGATGTGTTGCCTCAGTCTAGTGATCACTACTCATTAACACAGCTCCCACGGGCAGGCTGGTCCTTTCCAGGCCTTCCAACAGCTCACGGCGGAACAAGCATGAAGGTTCCCTACGCTCACATGGAGTGAATACGCAACTCGTCACTCCCAGTTCCCAGAGAATTTTCAGTGTTAAAAACAAACTGAATAATGGTATATTCAAGGGAATAGAATTCCCAAAATGCTTTTGATCCTGTGCATATTCAAGAGAAATTTCTCCTCCAGAGACTTTAAGATACATTTTTAAACAGTAAGAACTTTTAAGTAATATGAATAAGAAATATTATTATGAAAATAAGAAATAATAAAAACTTTTGGGGGCGCCTGGGTGGCTCAGTCAGTTAAGCATCTGACTCTTGGTTTCAGCCCAGGTTGTGATCTCAGAGTCATGAGATCGAGCCCCGCATTGGTGTCTGCACGCAGCTCCGAGTCTGCTTGAGATTCTCTCTCCCCCTTCCTCTGTCCCTCCCCCCCGAGCTCCCTCTCTCTCTCTCAAATAAATTTTTTTTTTTTAAAAAAGAAAGAGTAAGAACTTTTTTTATCTCTCTCTGGAAATCTTTCTAATGACAAGGATGAGGGCACTAAATGACCTCCTGAGGATGTGTTTTCTTGTTGGTTTTTTGGGTTGTTGTTTTGTTTTGTTTTGTTTTTGCTTTCTTGGTTTGGTTTGGACTGGGGTATCAGGAGGTGTCTGGTTTCCTTTTTTTTTTATTTTGAAATAATTCCACATTTACAGAAAAGCTGCAAGAATAGTACAAAGAACTACCATACGCCCTTCACCCAGATTACCCCATCTGCTCCCTGTCTGTCTGTCTTACTCCCTCCCTCTCTCCTCCCCCATCTCCATTAGTTCCCCTTCTGAACTATTTGGAAGCAAGCTGTAAACCCGACGCCCCGTACTCCCACATATTCCTGTGTATATTTCCCCAAAACAAAGACACTCTCCTACGTAAACACAGTACAATCATCCACAGCAGGACATAGACTTGGATACAGCACCCCCATCCAAACCAGAAACCCCATCCCAATCCCACCACCAGCTCCAACCATGTCACCTTTTCTTTTCTGGTTCAAAGCCCAATCCAGGATCACGCCTTATATGGAGTCGCCAACCATATGGAAGCCACACAGCCTTTCTTTGCCTCCCCTGTCCTCGACAACCTTCAGAGAGAGATCTTTCATTCTGCCGTGGACCCCCAGCAGGGCCAAACCCATCTTTCCTCATGGCCAGTCTCAGGAGTGACCCCAGCTGTGTTGGAGCGCCACCTCGGGGGCACCTTAGGACAATACCCACCTGGGGTATTGTCACTCTTGGTCCCCTGACCAGGTGAGTGACCAGGTTTCTCCCACATAAAATCAGTCCCCACTTTCAGTCTATAGTTGATAGAGCTTTGAGGAGAGATCCTTCCAGATGGTGCTTTGCTTTCCAATCACAAGATATTGGTATTTTTACCCCATGCTCAGTCTGCACTCCTACAGATTCCCTTTACCTCTCCCAGCCCGGTTTGACCTGCTGGACACTTTAACTGATGTTGTGTCTATTCTGCTGCAAGAACGCGAAGCCCGGGATCCCCAGGTACTTGGATGCCCATCCTGTCTTAAGCTCACTGAGCCTCAGTTCCCAGATCCAGAAACGGGGCCCTAAACAGGCACGAAGAAGTTCTAAGTTTCCTTCCAGCTTTCAGATTGCACAATTTAAGTTCTAATTCTGCCTGGAGGCCCCTGTGTCTGAGCTGTAATCAGCTTTTTGGCAACAGCCCTTCACTTTATTAATGGAGTGGGGGTGGGTTGTTTGGGGAAAAGGCATCTCCTAGAATCCTCCAGTACAATGGGCAGAGGAGGGAACAGGAGCTTTAGCCTTGGGTGGCGAATGGCCACGTGAGCTCTGACGAGTCCGATCTTTGGAGGTGATTCTGACTCTTATACTATGGGTAGTTCACGATCACGTGAAAATGATCCTGCAAGAGGAGAGGCCTTCATTTAGCTCCTCTCCCTGTCTGCTTGGTAAATTAAAACAGAGAGAGAGAAAGTAATTAGCAGTGGCACATCGATGCCCAGGGACAGGAAGGGGACAGCTAAAGGGAATAGTTGAATGATTTTGTTCTTAAATCATAAAAATGTTCTAAAATGGATTGCAACAACGGTCAAACAACTCTGAATATACTAAAAACCATTGATTTGTAGACTACGTAGGTGAATTTTGTGGTATGGAAATTATCTCAGTAAAGCTATTTCACACACACACTCTGACACGCTCTCAGACACAAACACACACACACACACACACACACACAGGTTGACAAGGAAGTACCATCAGAGAACTCTAATCTCACTGTGCTGATGGAAGACACTGGAAGAGATCATCCAGATGTGGCCCCAGGTGAGGTCAGGTGAGGTCAGAGAGGTGTTGGAGACAGGGAGAGCACTCAGGTGGGGTGAGGGGTGCAGGGAGAGCTGGTGTAAAGACTGGGGGTTGGGAGGAGGCCCATGAGCAAAAAATGTCAGAGTTCCTGCTGGGCAGATGTGCTGTTTTGGTAGATCTCAGGGTCTTAACTGGTAGATCAGGAAAGGGATAACCTTGCCCCAGATTCAGTTGTGCAGGGATTTCTGGCAAGGAGAGGACCTGGGATCAGGCTGCCCACAATCCCTCTGCTTAGCCAGCTCTGGAAGTTACCCTTCTATTCTCAGTCCCAGGTGATCTCAAGGCTTCAGGGAAGTAAAAAGTGGATTCTTCTCCCAAAAAATGATAGATAGATAGATAGATAGATAGATAGATAGATAGATAGATAGATGATAGGTAGATAGATAGATAGATAGATAGATAGACAGATAGACAGGTCTGTGGTTGATTCCAAGGATAATATAGTGAGGTTATCACAAGGAGTCCAAAAAAAATTATATTTTGGATCTTAATTTGACAAATTCCCAGTTGTGTGAAGTTGACAGATAACTTATGTTTACACCTCACTTCTTCATCCATGAAATGGGCCTAGAAGTGGTGCTTGCTTCATGGGGTTGTCATGGAGACTAAAGAAGAAAATGAAGGTAAAACAGTCAGATGCCTGACACATAGCAAGTACTCAGTAAATGTTCACTGTTGTCAGTCTTCATCTTACTCTTATTATGATTATGAACTCCCCGTGCATGTAAGGAAACTAAGAGCCTAAACATGAGGGCTGTGATCTGGGTCAGCACCTGGTCAGGTTCTGCTGGGCAGGCTGTGCGCTGACTTCTCCCCAGGGGAGCAAAATAGTCACACTGAGGCTAAGTTAGAAGAAGCTCTTCCAACTCAACTGGAAGATGCAGATGTGGGGGTGCTGGAATCCCAACCCACTATAGTCTGAGGGGAGTAAATCAGAGATTTGAGGTCTCATTTTCCAGTACTCTGTGAAAGAGACACTTTGATGGTGGCTGACTGTGGCTCTGGGGGCAGTGGTCCTTAATTAGGAACACGTGGGTGCTAGGCACTCAAGCCTCCCTTGGGATTTCCATCCTGCACTCAGAAGTCCCTGACGACTGACTGGGAATCAATATAGACTACTTCATTGTGATCTGGAGTCCTTCTCTGCTACACAAAGGCAGGGAGTATAAGAAAAAGATGCTCTGGCTTGGAAATAGCAAGCAAAAGCACTCCCTACGGAAATTACCTGGGGCCAGGCAGGAAGACAAGGAAGGAGCTTCTAGGTGACTTGGAGGCTGCGCCAAGGAGAAGGATGCGTTGATTTCAATGGGCCCTTCACAGGGAGAGGGACAGGTGAAGTCAGAGTCTGAATCTGAAGCCTTTTCTGGAAATGAGGCACCTCCCTCCCTCTGAACTCATTTCCTCTCAGGCTTTATTCAAGCAGGGGTTTCTGTTGAAATAGGAGACTGTGGGGGAAGCAGGCCCAGTCCCTGGCCTGCAGGCTGCCCGGACTGCCAAGGAGGTGGGCCTCCAGCCTCCAGGGAAACCTCTGTGCTCCCTTATCTCTAGGTGAGCACAGGGATCCTGCAGAGGAGGAAAGGGCGGGGTGTGGGGGGGACAGGAAAATAACTCAGCTCTGGTTGCACCAGGCACACCCTCATCACTGCGTCATATCTTCTTCCGAGCCAGAAATCCACCCTCAGATGTGCACACAAAGCTAGCATTTAGAGGAGCTGCACACACACCTCAGAAAGCAAAATCAGGCACTGTGGCTTCAAAGGAACCAACCTCTCCTTTCAAAACAGCACAGCTCTGAATAGCTGTCTGGTATGTCTGTCTCTTTAAATGCTGTTCCAAATGATGAGGTCTTTATCAGCAGCAACAGGAGGGCAGCAGAATGGTTCATAAGTTCGTGGTTTATAAAATCAACATCTTTGTCTTTTTGCAATCACAGTCATTCTTATGCTCAGAAGTCAAAGGAGACATAACCCAAACAGAAGACAAAAGGTTGCCTTTTTACACCAATATGTGTTTGGGGATTTTTAAAGCTAACCGACAAAGACCAAGTAAGGAACAGTCACATCCCATAATGATGCCTGGGGCACCTGCTTCATCAAGTAAATGCAGAAAACAACATTGGAAGTTACCTGAGAAGTGTGTTCACTGTTTCTCACATCCTAAAAGCTGAGCTTTGAGGGGATGAGGAGTCCCTATCCTGGGGGTAAATCTGCCCCTAGAAGTCACTTACTGAAGGAAGTCCGAGCAGCTGGGAGTCTGACTGCCTGGCTGGAAACCAGATCCGTGGCTTGTTGCCCCTGTGAACCAGTCAGAGCCCGTTTCTTATTCCATAAAATGGGCGTTGCAAATTGTACCTGAGTAGTTATTCCCCCATAAGTATTAAAGACAGTGCTTAGATGTGGAAGAACTCGGTGTTAAAAGAGGACTGACTACGTGATCCACCTTCCTGAGTTTACACATGGGGAAAGGGAAATGCAGAAAACTGAAACTAATTCAGTTTCAGAGTCTAGTCCAGAACTTAGAATAGCGTGTTTGGAGTTATTACTATTATTAAGTATTATGAATCATATCCTAGGTAGCAATACTCTTTTTTTTAATTAGAGCAGGGGTTGTGGCAAAAAATGTGGGCCTTAGCCAGCTCAGGCTGCTCAGGGATGATGCATCCTCTACCCCGGCAGGTGGGGAACTGCTGGAGGAGACTTAGCGGGGGCTAGCTATGTGGCCACACTGCAGACCTAGCCTTGCTTGCCCCTGCCTTGGGCTTCCTGTGGCATTCTCCCAGGGAAAAGCCAAGCATGCCACACTGAGCTGACTGCATTCCATGACAGTCCTGTGGGGTAATGGAAGACTAGAAAGACAGAGAGATTTCCCCAAGACTCCATGATGGATGAATGAGTAGCTAGATTGGGATTCAACCCCTCGTCACCTGGCTCTGGGCCCAGTGTTCTTTCTCCTGGACCACGAATCTTTGACTTACATGCCATTGCCCCTCAAAGAGAAGGAAATGTGGGGCAGTGTGAGGAGGAAGGTCCAAGAACAAAGTGAACTTGGCTCTCCTACAATTAGGGAAGAAAAATGTCTGTTGGGCTGAGGGTCACCTGGGTTTGCATAGACTATTTTGAAAGGATCAAGTGATTTAAATATCAGTAGCGTGCAGATCTAGCGAGCTAGCACACAGACATGGGCTTACCCCACTACTAAGGGACACAGGTTTGCGGGGGCATAAAGAATAAAAATGGGAAATGTGTATTCTTTTAGAATGCAGTGAACTGTGCTTGTTCATCAAGAGTCCTGATCAATGAAATGATTCACTCACCCACATAAGAGAGGGAATAAAAAACATCTAAGGAAATTTGGAATACTGCAAAATATTTATGTATTTGGAAAGAATTGTGAAGAAAAAAGTTCTAGGGGCGCCTGGGTGGTTCAGTTGGTTAAGCGACTGCCTTCGGCTCAAGTCATGATCCTGGAGTCCCAGGATCGAGTCCCGCATCGGGCTCCCTGCTCAGCAGGGAGTCTGCTTCTCCCTCTGACCC